AAGGTGAAGCGGCCACCTGGTTCACCGCCTCTGTTGAAGGCGCGCTACATGGCTAGAGGTTTCAGTCAGTGTGAGGGAGTTGACTTCTTCCAGACCTTCGCCCTGACCCCGAAGATGACTACTCTTCGGGTGTTACTGCACGTAGCAGCACAGCGAGACTACGAGCTGCACTCCCTTAACTTCTCTACTGCGTTTCTCCAGGGCCGACTACACGAGGAGATCTGGCTGCGGCGTCCTCCTGGCTTCACTGACACCTTCCCACCTGGGACCCAGTGGAGCCTGAGGCGGCCAGTCTACGGTCTCCGCCAGTCGCCCCGTGAGTGGAACGACACTCTTTGTGCCACGCTTCGTGACCTTGGGTTTCGTCCTTCCTCTGCCGACCCGTCGCTGTTTGTTTGCACTGGTTCCACTCCTTTCTTTATACTAGTGTACGTCAACGACTTGGTCTTTGCTACAGCAGACAGGGCAACTCTGACTGAGGTGAAATCCGAACTGCAGAAGAGACACAAGTGCACTGACCTCGGTGAACTGCAGCGCTACCTTGGCCTGCAGATCACCAGGGACAGAGCCGCTCGCACCATCACACTGACTCAGTCACACATGGTGCAGCAGGTCCTTCGGCGGTTCGGTTTTCAGTTCTCCACCACACAGTCCACTCCTCTTGCCGTTGACCACCGACTCACTGGCCCTTTTCCCGACGAGCCCTTTGAGTCTAGTGGCCCCTACGCAGAGCTTGTGGGCTGCCTCATGTACCTGATGACTTGTACTCGACCGGACCTCGCCTTTCCCCTCAGCGTCCTCTCTCGCTTTGTTGCGACTGGGAGACACCGTCCTGTTCACTGGACAGCTGCTGTGAGGGTGGCGAACAGGCCTGTCGTTTCGTTTTGGCCCCCCCGGACAAATCAGGGGGCCCGGCATGTATGACCCTGTATCTAGCAGGGTTGGGGGGAATCTCGGCCCTTTAGGCTTCAGAGCTGGAAAATTTTCCTCCCTTGAATCAGGTTTGGCGCGGAAAATTCTGGAGCCTCATTTCAACTACCAAGCTAACAACTACGTCTGAGATGAACCACAACAAGCAAACACGACATAAAGAGAATTAGTTAGCGTCACATCACTACGCACGCTTTGCAGGCATCCTAGCCTTTGCAGAACTGATGATCTTGTGCACTTCTACCCACTCCACAGGATAGTTCTTGTGCACTTCTACCCAACCTTAACCTACCCACTCCACAGAGAGCGAGCTGTGATTGGGTCAAGCACAAGTTCTAGGTTGAGTTGAATTTGTGGCCCAACCACGCAACTCGAAATTTGCCAGGTTAGATGCAATCAGGTTAGAAACGAAGGGGAGAGGAGAGTGGTGAGTGTTGGGAGGGCGGAGGGGGGGGGGGGGGGGGGGGGGGGGATGGTGGGCTCGAAAGATTTTGTTCTAGGGCTCGCCTAAAATCTACCCTTTACACACCAGGCCTAAGCACGAAATCAGCCCTGTAAAGAATCAGGGCCATAATATTTCCAACCCATCAATTTCAGCTTTCAAAGGCAACCCAGCCCTGGAATTCAAGGTCCAGCAGGGCAAACGCCCTGCAAGCGATAGCCCTGGTGGCGAAGTACCTGGCGACTACATCAGGCATGGGGCTTGTGCTTGGAGGGACACAACCAGTTGTGTTGACCGGTCACTGCGACTCTTCCTACGCTGACGACGTGGAGACTCAGCGCTCGACTCAGGGTTACTGCTTCAGTCTGGGTGCTGGTGCTGTGTCGTGGAGGTCTACACGGTCGCCGTCTGTGGCTTCGTCCAGTGCGGAGGCAGAGATCTACGCTGGTGCCATGGCGGCACAGGAGCTTCGCTGGTTGACCTTCTTGCTCGCCGACCTTGATGAGCGGCCTCGCTCTGCACCGACCTTGTACGCTGACAACAAGGCCATGATCCTCCTGTGTCGAGAGCCTCGACTGGAGAGCAGAGTGAAGCATATTGACGTGAGGTACTTCCTCCTGCGAGAGTTGCAGCGACGCGGCCAGGCACGCTTGGACTTTGTGGCCTCACAAGCCAGCACTGCCGACGTCTTCACCAAGGCCCTGGCGCCTGGTGACCACCACAGGTTCTGTGTGCAGTTGGGGCTTGTTGAGGTAGGCCCTCGGTTGCTGTAGACTTGCTGTTTGCTCTACTGGTTGTGCTTCTATATATACTAGTAAACTCTTGAACTGGCCTTGTGGCCACTTGCTTGTGCTCGGAGTGTGTGGTGACTCTGAGCGCCACCCTGAGCTTTGTTTTTTATGCTTGTTCTTGACTGGTCTTGTGACCCTTTGTTCCCCTTGGTTGTTTTGATGCCCCTCACTTAGCCTATGGGGGTGTGTCAAATGTTTATATCTTCTATATATTGTTAGATAGGCTACAGTGAGTTTCCCTCTAAAGGGTACAACAATTTAGGTCGACATTTGTATCTCCTTGTTGCTCCTTACTCCACAATCCTCTCGACAGTTGTTTCCTAGCCTATTTTAAGATTTAGCAAGCTGATGACTTGAAAATCATATTTCCTTCACATTCAAGCCCTGCAGGCTGCGCGTCTAGTCAGCATGTGCTGTCAGAAGCTCCTAGTGACGCATTTTGAGTGTACCGTGATCTCCCGGTTACAAGACCCTCCCGCATAAAAGCCCCGTGGGTCTTCTATCCGGACAAGGGGTCTTTTATTAGGTCAGTCCTGGAGAGGACCCGTCTTTTGACCCAAATCATTATAAGACCCCCCCTCCCTCAGGCTATCATGAGCTGGTTAGCGAGTCACACAAAAAACCACCAAATTCACTTTGTCAGGCGAATTTGTGGTCAAGGGAGTCAAGATGCCACATCAATCACGCGTTTTTGCCGCCCTTCAGGCAAGAAATGCTGACGTGCCTGTCATTATTCGGCATTTCTGAACGTGCGGAAATGAATCAGGGAGACTCGAGTGCGAGAATCTGAGAATGAATTTCCGCGCTGTGAAGGAATCCAAAATTCAGTACATAAATTTTCGAATTTCTTCAACACTGCACCAGGCCCTCAGATTGGTTTTGGGGCACCCTGATTCGTCAGTGTTGGTCCCCAAAAAAAAACTTTCTGTCACGGTCGGTTACAAAAAAAACCCTTGTTGAGGTAGGCCCTCGGTTGCTGTAGACTTGCTGTTTGCTCTACTTGTTGTGCTTCTATATATACTAGTAAACTCTTGAACTTGCCTTGTGGCCACTTGCTTGTGCTCGGAGTGTGTGGTGACTCTGAGCGCCACCCTGAGCTTTGTTTTTTATGCTTGTTCTTGACTGGTCTTGTGACCCTTTGTTCCCCTTGGTTGTTTTGATGCCCCTCACTTAGCCTATGGGGGTGTGTCAAATGTTTATATCTTCTATATATTGTTAGATAGGCTACAGTGAGTTTCCCTCTAAAGGGTACAACAATTTAGGTCGACATTTGTATCTCCTTGTTGCTCCTTACTCCACAATCCTCTCGACAGTTGTTTCCTAGCCTATTTTAAGATTTAGCAAGCTGATGACTTGAAAATCATTTTTCCTTCACATTCAAGCCCTGCAGGCTGCGCGTCCAGTCAACATGCTGTCAGAAGCTCCTATTGACGCATTTTGAGTGTACCGTGATCTCCCGGTTACAAGACCCTCCCGCATAAAAGCCCCGTGGGTCTTCTATCCGGACCAGGGGTCATTTATTAGGTCAGTCCTGAAGAGGACCCGTCTTTTGACCCAAATCATTATAAGACCCCCCCTCAGGCTATAATGAGTGGTGTTAGTTCATGAGCTGGTTAGCGAGTCACAGAAAAAACCACCAAATTCATTTTATCAGGCGAATTTGTGGTCAAGGGAGTCAAGATGCCACATCAATCACACGTTTTTGCCGCCCTTCAGGCAAGAAATGCTGACGTGCCTGTCATTATTCGGCATTTCTGAACGTGCGGAAATGAATCAGGGAGACTCGAGTGCGAGAATCTGAGAATGAATTTCCGCGCTGTGAAGGAATCCAAAATTCAGTACGTAAATTTTCGAATTTCTTCAACACTGCACCAGGCCCTCAGATTGGTTTTGGGGCACCCTGATTCGTCAGTGTTGGTCCCCAAAAAAAAACTTTCTGTCAGGGTCGGTTACAAAAAAAACCCTGATAAATCAGTGTTAGTGCTTAAAAAAAAACTTTCTTATCAGTGTTAGTACTTGTAAAAAAACTTTCTAATCAGTATTAGTGCGGACGAAAAAACTTTTAATACAATGTTACTTTGCTAGCTACATTTTAAAAGGCAGAAACAACCAAAGTATAAAAACTAATAGCTGTTTCTTAGGTGCATTGCTTGCAGTGCATGCATGCATGCTGTACCACACCACCTCACCTCACCTATCTAACACCAGCAATCAGCCTCCGCGTCCCTAGCCCTAGCCTCATCATCATCATCATCCACATCAAGCGGGTTGTCCTCGTCTCCTCCAGCCTCTTCCGCCTCCTTCACCCTCCTCCTGTCTTCCTCCTGCCTGTGCACGGTGCAGGTGTTGAAGGGTTTTCTCTTCCTGTAGTTTCGCCAGATGTCGACGATCTCGTCCCAGTTGGGCTCGTACTTCATCAACGACATGCACATCAAGTCGCTGAGCCGTGCATCCTTGAGGCTGCCTCGCTGCCAGGACTTGATGATGTTCTGGCGCGAGAAACCGCGCTCGCACTCAACGGTGCTCAGCGGCAAGACCGCCACCGCCACCCATAACCGCACCAGGTTCGGGTAGTGCACCTGCCAGTCCGAGGTCTTGAGCATGGCGGTGAGCCCCGTGTGGAAGCCGCGCTCACTCTTCGGTGCACGTGCGAGGATGGGAATAAGCAGCCGCAGCTCCTTGACTGCCTTCTTCTTGTCTATGCCTGTAGCAAGATCGAAGTCAGGGGGAGAGAGAAGGGACAAGGGGATCAAGGGTGGGCAGAGGAGGAGAGGAGGAGCAAGATAGCAGGTTGGCCAGAAGGCACAGGAGTGGCATTCTGCAGAGGAGGAGGGTGATCAACATGCAAATGCACCACTTATTGGCTCACCAGGCACGATTTCTTCGCTTTCATCCGCCCGAAAGAGAGTGATCAGCGACTCCAGCCACTCCTGACACTTTGCGAGGCGTTCATGCCTGTCGTGCGGCCAGCTATCGGGAGTGAACATGCGCACACCCGACAGCTTGTCAAGGTCCCCCAACCGATCCAGCAGGTTGGCCACTATGAGCTCCGCGAACTCGGTGCAGATGTCCAGGCATGCATCGTTGTGCCCGGGGCCAGGATAGTCGTCCAGCCGATCTTCATGCAGCGTGAAGTTGAAGGTGGTCGGTTGGCCATCTGAGTCCACGCCCTCAATGCAGACGTCCTGTGTGCCGTCGGGGCCATGCTTCTCCAGCCATGGTGAAAGCTTGGGGCTGAGACCGCCACCAAACTCGTCACCGCAGTCGACGTATCGAGCCTCGAGATGGCTTGTTGTCCGTCTGATCTGCGCATGCACAGCAGACAGATCCAGCTGGGGGGGAAGCAAGGCACAAAATACGTGGAAAAGGAAGTAAGTACAACCATGTAAACGGTCCCAACAAGGATGCAAGAAATGTAACCAGGCAGGGCGGGGTATGGGACTACAAACGTACCTGCCGTCGCTGGAACACCTTGCTCAAGACGCTAAACCCTAAGCTAAAGCTCAGAGGGACGAGTCTGCCGAGTAACAAACAACGCTCAGCTGCTGCTGACACCCTAGCAAGAAAGTGTTGGAGGAGACGATGGGGAAGAGGCAGAGGAAGACTAAGCCCGTTGTGGTCCCTTCCTTGCATGTAGAAACGGATGGCCCAACTTGTGCCATCCAAGGTGCTCAAATTGCCCTGTTTCTGGCACGTACCACAAGCGACACGGCTTACAACCGTGATGCTGTGGATTGCTGCCAGCGCAGGGCACGTCGGTGGGTGGCCCATGTGATTACGAGAAACTGCCCAATCACCTTGCGTGCTGCCAGATTTCCTAGACAGCACGCCAAATTGCTGTGCGACTCGAGTTTCAGCCAGGTACAGGGAACAATCGCTCCCGTGATTGACGCTGACACGGCAAAAATTTTCGCGAAATTTTGACCAATGAATAGAATCCACGCATTTTCAGCAACAAGACTCGGTTCGTTAGTGTGGATTCGAATCAGTGTTGGTACATGATATTACCCTGAAAAATCAGGCAAGGTACCAGAATGTTGCCTGAAAAATCAGTCCTTAGAGCGTGTTCCTATCCTCGTATCAAGACAACCTCGTATCAGGCTCACACTGGAAATTCCCCTAAACCCAAAACCTCTCGCTAGTTTTACCAGGCAAAAACAGCATTCTTGATACGAGGTTTCCTGATAAGAGGCCGTAGGAACACGCCCTTACATCAAAATAAACACTTTTCAATCAGCCTTAGGCCACAAAAAAAGCCTGAAAAAAAAGTTTTTCAAGGCCAAATCAGCGTTTTTATCCTGACTTCTGAGGGCCTGCATTCCGCTCTGGACATATCCCAAAAGTACATGTCCCAATCGGGTGTACCGCTCCGAACCGAACTAAACCAGAGACGCGAAAATTTTGACAATGTCTGAAACTAGGGTGTAATTCGGTGTAATAAGATGCAGTGCGGCAGAATCGATTGGGACACTTTCTATTGGGACATGTCCAGAGCGGAATGTACCCTAAGCGCACCCCCCTGAAAAATCTAGTTTTATTATAAGCGCAGGTGCGCTTATATCCGGGGTGATACGGTACTTGTCATTCATTTTAGTCCATCATTCCTGCCACTTGATTCTGACAATTCCAACCTGAAAACGTTATGTTATGTCATTCAAAAATACATAAGCTCTGTTCCTACAAAAGCATGGGGCAGAACAGTGGTAATCCACCCTTGAATGCGCTCATCATTTGTTGCCACTTGTTGCAGGTGGATGAGGTTCCAGAGGCAGTGCACACCAGCTGCAGTCACCTCAGCATCCCACAAGCCAAGCTTCTCCAGCCGTGCCATTCCCCTCACGTGCTTCATGCCACAGTCACTCACGCCCGGCGGCACGGAGAGGTGCCTCAGGCGGGTGAGCGCCGTCAAGTGCTGCAGCCCCTCCTCTCCCACCGCACTGCCTCTCAGCTCCAACCTCTCCACCGTCCCCAACCGTGCCACGTGCACCATACTCGCAGCCGTCACCCGACGGCACCCAGTGAGCACCAGCACGCGCAGCTGCGGCAACCCCTCCAGGTGAGCCAGGCCCACATCAGTAATGATCGAGTGCGACAGGTGGAGGTCCGTGAGCCTCCTCAGCTGGGTGATGCCCTCCAGAGCTGCGTCCGTGACAGCGGTGCTGGCGAGGTAAATTCAGGGCAAGACAATACAATTTTCTTGAAGCTCGGTGAAATTTAGCATCATCCTGCAATTCAGGGCCACCCCCCAACAACATCCTGAAATCAGGGTAGCCAGGATGTTTTACGCTAATATTAACGGCCCTGGATGAGTCCGTTCAAACAGTTCGCAATGTAACGTGTCGCTCCAGTAGCGAGCTGAGTTAGCCCAATCATGCGAGCTGGGTTGCGAGGTCGCGAACGATCGAACTTCTCATGTTGTTGATGAAGTATTACTCGCCACGTGCGATGATCGATGTGTCACCAGTGTTCAGAGCGCGAGTAACAATGCTCAAGTTGATCACTTCGTTGATCTCGCCACTTGATCTTGAACTCGACCCAAGATCAAGTTACACTCGCGTCACCCCTCACATGGCGCGAGCAGTTGTTCGTTTCGTGGAGCGACCATTCAGAACCCTTCGAAAGTGGCAGCGCGAGCAGCAAAAGAAACTTGCTTGAGAAGGCGCTGTTTGCTGTGATTGTTCCGAAAACCGTCAAACATATGCTTATGTTACATTTCTGGGTAGGCTGTAGTGGGGTAGATACTGAGGGGTATAACCCCTTAGGGTTTCTCTCTTGTACCAATCCTCTCGATAGTCAACTTCATTGATGCCTAGATTCTAAGATGGTATCTAGAGCCTAGAGGTGTTTAGGACCTAAGATTAGGGCCCACCCGTTACCACGTTACCTCACTTGCCTGCCTGCCTTGCCTACTGCCCGCGCGCGCCTCGGCTGCACGCGCGCGGCCCCTTTTTTTTTCCCGCGCGCGCCACTTAAGCAGCCCACGCGCAGCCCGTTTAGGCCCGTTTAGGCCCGTTTAGGCCCGTTTTCGGCCCCGCGCGCCACGTCAGCCGCCCGCGCAGCCTGCCGCCGGCCCCGCGCGTCGCCTCCTCCGGTGTGCAGCCCGCAACTGCTCCGCGCGCCGCCTTAGGAGCCAGCGCGCGGCCTACTGCTGCACCGTGCCCCGCCTTAGGAGCCCGTGTGCGGCCCGCTGCTGCACCGCGCGCCGCTTTAGAGGCCCACTGCTGCCCTCCGTGCTGCCTTCGGAGTCCGTGCACCGCCACTGCAGTCCGTGCACCGCCACTGCAGCCTTGCACGTAGTCTCTCCTTGCTTGCCTTTTGCCTTGCCGCCTGCGCACTAGACTTGCCTATGCTGCATGCATGGCGACTCTCAACGTGCTTGCGTTCAATCCTGACAGTCGCCCAGTAGAGTTTACCACCTGGCTTGACGACCTGCAACTGTTCCTTCTGACTGATGCCAAGGACGGTGTTTCCCTGTACGATTACGTGTCTGGCACTGCCGTTGCTCCTGCTGACACTGAGACTGCTCTAGCCCGCTCCCAGTGGAAGACCCGCGATGCTGCTGCGCGCCTAGCTATTTGCAACCATCTGCTGATCACAGAGCGAGCGCATTTTAGCCAGCACAAGACTGCCAAGGCGCTGTACGACGCTGTAGTTGCCCGCTACTCTTCCCCGGCCACTGCAGCCCTCGGTCGACTTATGCTACCCTACCTGTTCCCCGACCTGTCCTCGTTTACCACCACTGAGGACCTCATCTCTCACCTACGCGCTAGTGACACTCGCCTTCGTGTCGCCCTTCCAGCCGAGTTCCTCGCAGAGAACCACCCCCCGATGTACTTTACTCTCTACTTCCTCATCACCCGCCTCCCTGACACTCTTCGCTCAGTCAGGGATCACTTCCTCGCCCTTGACCCCGATTCTCTCACTGTCGACGACCTCGAGAAGCACCTCCCCGCACTCCCCTCTTTGAGGGGTGCTCCCCCTCCCCTCTTACCTCCTCCTACGCCTCCGCAGCTGCTGCTGTCGACCTCCTCGGTGCTGAGCAGGTCGCAGCTGCTTCCGCTCCTACTGGGAAGCGCAGCGGCTCCAGGGAAGGCAAGGGTGGCAGGGGTGGCAGACGTGGCGGTGGAGGGGGCGGTGGTGGAGGCGGCGGGGGAGGTGGAGGTGGTGGGGGTGGTCGTGGGGGTGGAGGTGGTAGTGGGGGCGGTGGTGGTGCCGGGAGCGGTGGCGGTGGCGGCGGCGGTGGTGACGGAGGGGGGAGTGGTGGTGGCAGCGGTGGTGGGGGCTTGGGTGACACCCGTGGTGGCCAGGGGCAGCAGCAGCAGCAGCAGCAGCGTCAGCGCCAGACCCCCACTTCCCAGCAGCTTCTTGACTGGTATGCCGGGCGTGGGGCGTCTGGGGGTCCTGGTCGCTGCCCCTATATCATTCGCACAGGTCCCCGCACTGGTCGCTAGTGCACAGACACCTTTACTCCTGGAGGGCAGCGTGTGGCGATCTGCACGTTCTCTCGGACCGGCCGCCACCTGGCCACATTCACACGTGCGCCTGGGTCCAGTCTGTACACCCTCACCACTGTGTCACGCTACACCCCTTTGTCCCCCCAGCTGTACGCGTCTGCTCAGGTAGCTACCCAGTGTGAGTGTCGCCGCCTGTCGCACGACACTCTCCTGTGGCACCACCGCCTTGGTCACCCCTCCCTGCCTCGCCTTCGTAGCATGCACTCTCGCTACCTGGTCTCTGGCCTTCCCGAGTCTCTGCCTGCCCTCCCTCCCTCGCCTGCGCCGCCCTGCATTCCTTGCGTCGAGGGGCGGCAGCGCGCCGCTCCTCACTCCTCCTCGTTCCCTCCCACAGAGGCTCCCCTGCAGACTCTCCACATGGACGTGTGGGGCCCAGCCCGCGTCCGTGGACAGGGCCACGAGCGGTACTTCCTGCTGGTCATCGACGACTACACGCGTTACACGCAAGGGGGAGGTCCCTGATGTTTTAATCCCCTGGATCCGCGCTGTTCGTCTCCAGCTCCGCGAGCGGTTCCACTCGGACATTCCTGTCCTGCGTTTGCACTCTGACAGGGGTGGTGAGTTCTCCTCAGACCTCTTGGCAGCCTTCTGTGCGGAGCACGGCATCCGCCAGACGTTCACGCTTCCGGCCTCTCCGCAGCAGAATGGGGTTGCTGAGCGCCGCATTGGCTTAGTCATGGAGGTTGCTCGTACCTCCATGATCCATGCGGCTACCCCCCATTTTCTGTGGCCGTTTGCGGTTCGGTACGCCGCGCATCAGCTCAACCTCTGGCCCCGTGTCTCCTTGCCGGAGACCTCACCCACACTGCTGTGGACGG